AAAAAAAAAAAAAAAAAAAAAAAAAAAAGGACCAGCAGTTAGCGCAATGGCTATGCTGCTGAACTCCCATGTAGTCGACTGTGCTTCGAGTCCTGGACCCGGTGGCTTAAACTCACGCCGGGTGTGTGTGTGTGCGTGCCCAAGATTCCAAGAGGAGAATGGAGGAGAAGGGATTGTGGCATGGCCATCCCCGCTGGGGGGTGATTTCTTGCTGTCTCTCTCTCTCTCTCTCTCTCTCTCTCTCTCTGTCTCTCTAGTGAGTGCATGCGCCCTATAGCAAAAACCTCTCCAAGAAAAAAAAAAATACTATGACCTCGGAAGGAATGGCTGAAGGAAGAACATGAACCCTAGCTGGGATCAGCCGCCCCCTCACTCCTGCCTCATCCTTTCCTGCAGCTGTCTGGTCCTCACTGTATCTCAGCTGCATGGCAAAGTCATCTCCACACACTTCTCTGGGACCCAGTATCTCATATCTGCAATTCTAAATCCCCAGGGGAGAGAGCTTGATCCGTTCCCCTCAAGTCACACAGCTATGGCCAGGGAGTCAGGGTGCCTACCTATTCTCAGAGAAGGTGAAGTTCAGGTTGGCTGGACCCCAGAGGTCATATGGAGTGTTCTGGCACAGGGTCCAATGCCGAGTGTTGTCCAAATCGAGTTCTGGTGAGAAAATGCTCCAAGTTCATTTCTTTCTCACTCTGCCCTTTAAAGGAATACAGGGGGCAACAGGTGGCATAGTGGTTATGTCACTGGACTTCCACAAGGTTGACTATGATTTGGGCCCTGGACCTGGTAGCTTAAAAATCATACCAGGTCATATGCATATGTGCCCAAATCCCTGGAGGTAAATGGAGAAGGGATTGTGGCGTGGCCATCACCCCTGGAGGATATTTCTTACTTTCCCTCTCACTGTCTCTCTCTCTGGAGAGTGCATGGCAAAAACCTTAAAAGTAAATAAATAAAAATTTAAAAAGGAATACATTGCTTCTGATTTATAGTTCTTCTGTGAAGTTATTAAATCCATAAATAAGGTTTTAACCTCAGGACCAGCAGTTGGTGTAATGGCTATGTCACTGGACTCCCATGTAGTCGACTGCAGTTTGAGTCCTGGACCTGGTGGCTTAAGCTCACTGGGTGCGTGTGCATGTGCGCCCAGGATCCCGAGAGGAGAATGGAGGAGAAGGGATTGCAGCATGGCCATCCTCCCAGGGGGCTGGTTTCTTGCTTTCTGTCTCTCTCTCTCTGTCTTTCTGGTGAACTTTGGGTTACGGGAAATGGAAATCCACTCCTACCCAACTTTTGCTATAGGCACGTGCCCTATAGCAAAAAATCTCTCAAAAAAAATAAAACGAAATGAAATAAGGTTTTAACCTCTTAAGCTCTGTATTGTGAGAGCAGAAGAGAGCAGGCAGAGGAGAGCTTACCAGTCCTGGTGGCCAGGGTGGCCGAAGTGGCAGCACCAGCTGCTAGGCTGCTGGGGCAGAGGGGCTGACAGGGGCTGAGGCCGGTGGGACAGCCCCAGCTCTCCAGCTAAAGAAGCAGAAAGGCCTCCTGGACCACACTGCAAAGGCAGCCACAGAGAAACTGGACAGCAGGCTCGAGAGACCTACCCTGAAGGCCAGAAGAAATACCAAGACAGGTCCAGCCCCTTTGGCACAGACAACAACACGAATATCCCACCAACCTGGAAGCCATATGGTCAAAGGTGGGTTCAGATCCCCAGTCAGTCAGAACACACACAGGTACATCACAATGATAAAAAAGGAAAGGAAAAAAATAGTAAGACAGTCTCAGCAGCTTTCAAAATGAGAATGTTCTAAGCAAAACAGGTAGAGAAATGGGATTCATGGGAAGGGACGCTCCCAGGAGCCCCAGGGAAGGGGTGCTGGTACAAGGAGAGGGGTTGAGAAGGCATTCAGAAGATCTGAGACTGGAGAGGAGGGAGAGGAGGGAAAGGGTGCTGGTTCCTGTTTAGCTCAGAGCCCTGTCCCAGAGGAAGCACTGACAGCTGAATCAACAACTTCAGTCTTTGTATCTCGGCCCTCTCTTTCCCCCCATCCAGGGCTCTGACAACATTGGCTCAGGTCCTTTAATTAAAAAGAACAAGATGAACACTTTGGTTTCTCTGGCAGACAGATGCCAAGACCAGCATTGGGGGAGAGGATATTGAGAATAAAGGAGAGCTTAGCAGTGTGGTTGGGAAACGTTGGGGCCTAGTGTGCAGAGGTGGAGGAGGCCTCTCAACGTGCCATGTGATGGAGAAACAACATCTGGACCAGCGATCTGGCAGACAGCTGTCTCCACTGCAGCAGCCCTCCTGGTTCTTAGGGCCGGGTGCAGGGGGCAGACGTGAAACTTCTCTTCGGACTTTTAACCCCCTCTCCTCCACTAGGGTCTTTGTCATCCACTGACTTTTGCTCAACCAAAGCAGAGGTCATGACCTACTTCTGCCAAGTGACAGGTTATGGAGGGCCGGAGTACAGGTCTAATGAGTTTGTTTTTTGAGGACAGGATTCAGTTCCGAGGCTGTCTCCCTGAGCCGCAAGTAATTCAGCTGAATGAATACGGACAGTTCACTGAATCTGCCCACACAGTTCCACTCACCTTCCAAAATGCTTCCAAAATAGCACTAGCTATTGTATAGGAGCGAAACAGAACAAAAGGCAAAAGTAATAAATGACAAGACCCCAGAGACTTCCAGCCTTTCAGAAAAGTCTGAGTGGAGTTTTCCAAACAAATTTGAAGCCTAAGGAGAATGAGTTGTGTTTTCTTAATCACTGAGGAATCAGGCAGAGGCCGTGAAGACAAGCACACATGTGTGTTGCAGCAGAAGGGCCTAGTTTTAATGGAGCTGAGACTGTAACTGCATCACAAGCCTGCTCCTCATGTTGATGTCCATTATAGAGTCTCAGAGCCACTCCTGGGGCCAATGGGAAGTGTGGTGGTTAAGGCGCTAGATTCCTACATGGCCAACCACAGTTCAAGTCCTGGACCTGGTGGCCTGAACATCATGCCGGGTGTATGTGCATGTGTGCCCCAAATGCCAGGAGACTGAATCTCTCTATTCGTCTGTCTCTTTCTCCTGTGAGTGCACATGCCCTATGGCAAAAGCTATAAAAAGCAAAAACAAAAAGTCACTCCTAATGTCGGGTGCTATTACTGAGGTAACTCCACCGACACGGCCCCACCTTCGAGCTCCCAATCAGACCTGGGCAGACACAGTCACACACTGCAAAGAAGACAGCATCCCAGCCACACACACGCATGCCCAGTTCCAGGCCACACTCCCATCTCTGCTGGTCGCCTGGACCTGCTCTCCTGGCCTCCACTAGAGCTCCTTCCTCCTCCACAGCCCTCCCTGTCTCCTGCACGCTGGAACCAGATGTTCCGTGGGCAGACCCCTCTGTGGGCTGACAGGCGGTGATTACTGTTGCCAGCCCCACATTAGGAGAGAATTGAATGGGGGAGAGCCCCCACCACCTCGGGCTCCCTACAATAGCGCCTTTGTGAGGTGCCTTTCTTCTCCCCATCCTCACCAACCTACGTCAGAAACAGCTCCGCCTGAGGAGAGAAGAAAAGAAGACAAAAGGAGGATCGTGGCCTGATGGATCCACCCTATCCTGGGGCGGGAAGGAGGCTGTGCTTTGGGGAGACGACTGTGTTCCTTCCCTCTTCCAGCACTAAATAACTGACAGGACTTCCAGAGTTGCCTGAGGTCAACTCCCCCATGAGGGCAGTGGATCTCCTTCAGTCAGCCTTGCTCCTATGAG